AGCCTGGGCAAGCAAAGGGACAACACTTCAACTTCACCCAGCGGCGCTCTCCTCGTCAACTTTAGCCATTGATTTATTTTTTGTTCTTGTTTTTTGAAAGGTCACAGTAGCTTTTCGATAAAGTCTCCCCCTTCCCGGTCGGCTCGGGCACGGGTACACCCGTCTGAAGTGGAAGCTCTGGGCAGAGCCTTCCCTGAGAGCCAGCTCTCCCATCACCGTGCCTTCCTACCGCCTCTTCTGTGCCGCCGTGGCTAGTCTGACTTTTAAACCAGTGCTAGCTCTTGATTGCTCTATAATAAGATGCTCCGTTGTAAAGAATAATTGCGGCGGAACAGTGTGGTGGGCACAGTGATGCGACGGTTTCACCCTTTTTCTCCTTTCAAATTAAACCCCTTTGACGCGGGGAACTCTCGAACTCTTCAGAAAGCTGCGCGTCGGGGAGCGAGGCCCCCTGCGTGCCGTCTCCGCGACCTGGCGAGAGAGGGGAGGTGGTTCATCTCGCTTCTGTAGCGAAGGCACTTGACCAGCCACAGAGTATTTCAGATCGGGCTAGCAGCTCGTCGCCTTCCTTCCTAATTTGTTTTGATCCCTCCAGGTGCGCGGGAAGAGCTACACACAGTTCACACGCTGATCCGAGACCCGCGGGGCCCGCTGCCCGCAGCAGGGTAGGAGCGGTGCTGAGCCACTCCCCAAAGCCAGAGTGTCGCACCGACATCTGGGCAGCCGAATGTCAGATTAACCCTCAGCTCAGCACTGACTTCTACGAACAACCAGTTCTGCCCGGTAGGACCCCCACTACAGCGTCTTCTCCAGCAGCATGGTAACCTGAGCGATTGTTTAGAGTAAGTTTGCCTAAAGAAGAGTCTTTTTCATTAAATAAAGAAAATATCTCCCAGAGAGACTCTCCATGACCTCCACGGCTGCGGCTGACATGCCGGGCTTCCCAGTGAAGGTCGTCAGTGTGTTTGCAATTAAGATGTTTGTGTTAGATATTAATAACGATAATCTTTACTCAAGTCCCCAGCCAAAGCAAATAGGGCGCTGGAATCACAAAATCAAAGGGTAATAACTGGGTAAAGACAAGAGATTTGTGATTTAATCAAGTCTTTTTCCGGAGCGGCCACGGACAAAGTCACTGAAGTTTTTAAGGGAACGCAAGTGGCCCTGTCCCTGCCTCCTCCCCGATGCAGTTCATTTAAGGCGGGCTCGAAAGCCCATACTCAACACAGGCCTCTTCGCCTCTACCTGCTCCGCTCCCCCGGGAACCACCTGCTCGCTCCCTCAGGAGCGGAGGGGTGCCTGGCCCGGCGTGGCAACGCTCCGCCACCCGCTCGAGATGCCTGAGGGGCCGGGGAGCGATGGGGGGAAGCCGAGGGGGGAGAAGATGGGGTGTTTGTCTGCAGTGCCGCCGCGTTGTCACTGCTTTCCTCTGAAGTGACGCGACCGAGTGTTTAAAGCCCTTTTTTTCTAATTTTTTTTTTTAAATCTTTATTTTCCTCGGTAAAATAGCCTACAATCCAGGGAGGGAGACGGACAGCCAGTACCGTGCTCAGCTTATTCTCTGAGCTCGAAGTCAAGGGAGGCAGGCGGCGACACAGCAGCTGTTTCCTGGAGAAAAATTCCTGCGTGGATCGCTGCTGTTTTGAGCTAGGAATGGGTGTGGGGGGCAGGGGAGGGAAGAGGTTGAATAATTGAACCATGTGCTCGCTGGGACGTCCGTCCTATAGCAGGAACTAGCAACTTTTCCCAGTCTCAAGGCTGCTAAAATATCCCTCGTGTCCCTTTGATCTCTCCTGGGAGTCCCAGGGAGCCAACAGAGGCCAATGCCTTCTTCAGCTGTCCTCTATACAAATCCCTCTGGCAGGTACTAATGTGTTTACTTAGGTGCGCACGGTTCTCAGCGCTGGGGGGAACCAAACGTTTCTCACACGGCTGGAAGCGCTCGGCCCCACCAACCCGACTGGGAAACAGTTTTGCTGCCAGGGGGAGGGCCCTCACCGCCGGTGCCGGCAACCACCGCCAGCGGGAATGGACGGCTTGGCAGCATTAAAGTTTCATCCCTATGATCGCCTCGCGCGGCGCTGCAGCCGGGGCCCGACTGTGCGCTCCGTCGAGGCCGGAGGCCGGCGGGGCAGCGCGCAAGGCGTTCCGAAGGGCTGGGGTTGGGGGCGCGCTCGGGTGGACCCCAAACACCTCTCACCCCCTCAGCCTGGTGATTTCTGGTTTCGGTGGGATTTTATTTTCTTAAATAGAAAGGTGTGGGGCTTGGAAAAACATGGCACGGTCTGCAAACGGTGCCTACATGGGATGGAACCCCTCCAGAAATAAGTGCGGCACGGCGATTCCTGATGAGCGGGAGGGGGGGGCTGGGATGAGGAGCATCATTTAAAGAGAGCCTGACACATTCACCGTTTTCTCTCTACCCGTCCGAAGGAGCAGACAGTGTCTGATTCTCWGGCTGCTTCCCTCTTTCCGGACTTGAGCCTTCTGAAATGGAGCAGTATCCTCCCCCGCCCCCCCACCTCACCCTTCCCCAGAAACCTCATTAGCCAGCCTTGTAGTTCGTGTTTTCTCTCCCCTTGCTTTAGTTCCACTCGCCTACTGCATTTTTGCAAGTTTGTTTCGAGATCACTTTACCAGAGGAGCCGGGGACTCTTTAAAGAATACTATTTACAGACTTTTTTTTCTTCCTGAATGACAGACTCTTCCATGCTTTCTTCCCTTTCCCCAAAAACATTCAAGGAAAAAGGAAAGAAATTTTTCTGGCTCCTCAAAGACTTTTTGGGAAAGGCACGTTTTTTAACAGCCCCCGCTGAGCTAAGAGTCAAAGCTACGAGCTAAAGCTCTGCATGCCAGGAGAGCGGGGCTGAGGGGGTTGGCGTTGGGCACCGGGAGATCCACAGTGCATGCTTGGAGAGAAACCAAGCATGCACCAACCAAGAAAGGTGATCGGAACTGCAATCGGCACTTTAAAGATCAAGTTTTTTTGTGCATGAAACATGAATATTTAAACAGGTCTATTTTACCCAGCGCAAACGTGGCAAATCAAATTGCATATATGTGTCTGTCTGTATCTCTGTGTGTGCTCGCCACATCCCAGTGAAGAGTTCAAGTTACTGCCGAGCAGAACCTCTTCTGACGGACACTGTCTTAGCAAAACAGTAGACAACTGCCCTGTTTCAGATGCGGCCCAACAAAACAGCAACCTGCATCTCAGAGCGACAGAAGCCTGAAATTCTGAGCTTTCCCCTTTCTGTAACTTTACTCCTTTATCAACTCTCTGCTTTTCCTACAGTATTCATTTCAAAGGGGGGTCCCCCTATTTTATGGCCCCAAATAAACCAAAGTAGTGCAGATGTAGCCTTCCACAGACTTTAAATAATCACGCGTCTGCTCGAAGGAAGAAGGGGGTGTGCATGGTTGTTTTTTAGGAAAAGTTTTAGCCTTAGAGTGGAAATCCGCCTTTGGGGATTCGGGGGTGGTGGTGGAGGGGAAAAAAGGAGCAGATGGGGTCCCTCCAGCCTCAGCCCCGGCCGAGTTGCTGACTGCTCTCTACCTCTCCCGTGAGGATCGCTTTCCAGCGATGTGCGCTGCTACAGGGCACCTCTCTCAGAAGATACTCCCTACCTGCCTTGCTCACTTGATCAGCGGCTCCTTGAGACAACCGGCTCGCCATGCCACCGCATTACCTCTTCCTGAAGGGAGGCTAACTGAAGACACCTTTTTCCTGGGCACACGGACAGACTCCGTAGTGTTTGAACCGCTGCTGTTTCACTTGCTCTCCGTTTGAGTTAACCTAGGTCATATAATTTTATTCCCAGGTAGGGAAGGTTTCCTTTGCCTTCTCGTAATATTTTCCTCAGCTACAAAAGCCACCTGGATGAAACCAAAGGATTCCTGCGCGTTAGCAAATGCCTGTTAAATGGCTTCATTACCACTCTAATGACCCTTGCACCGCTCTGCTTGGCTACTGCTGCGGCTGGGGATCTGCAAGGCTTTTGTCCCCGGCTTGTGTAAAGTTACTTAGGGATTGCGGGGTTAGAAATTTTACACTTCCAGGAGGGGTTTGTTGCACTGGCAGCTGGGACGCATCTGTAACGGTACAAGTTTGCCTGAAAGCAGAAAATTAGCAAGCCCAAGGCACTGCTTGACTGTCGTGTCTCTAGCAGCACCAGGTCACACGAGTAGGAGAAAGAATGGGAAGGGGATTTGTTTCGGAGCAAACACATACACTTTTCTTTTGTGAATGCCTTTCCCCGTGGCCCGATCCGACAGCACTAAAATCTAGGTTCCCCCCCCCTCGTCTCTCCCGGCCATAAGTAGCTGTGCCTTTTTGTTCCCCAATTTGTAAATTTAATCAGTTGGTGACACAACTTTAACTACAGGACAACGCTGTCCTCGATATAAATGAACACATCTTAGATCTAAAAAGAAGGGTAGATTGTTTCGGGACCTGGACCACAGATCTGGACCACGGAGTGTGGGAAATAAAGATATGCAAGTAGACACTGTAGATGCTATGGGGATGCTCAGCGTTAATTCCCCGAGGCAGCGTGTGATGGGAGATGGGAACAACGGGACGAAGAAGGACTCTGTTGGAAATGTCGGTGGCTTGTGCACGTCCACTGCCCCCCTCTATCTTTCCATACCAAAACTGAAAATTCCCAGAATTGGTTGAAACTTTGGAGATGTCGCAACCAGTTCTGGGGAGGTCGTTCATTAGAAAAATGCCCAGCTCTCGGCTCTCCAAAGGAGCGGTGCGGAGCAAATTGTCTCCTGGGGACTGGAGGGGGCTTGTCCAGACAGCCACCGGCAGAGGCTGTGGTGGGATATGCTAATAAAGACTGGCCGCTGCAGACCAGCCTCCCTTTCCATGTATATATAAGGGCCCCCTGCATCACCCGAAAGACACTTGGTCTTGGGTCGCTAATTACGGAGCAAATTGCCCCACCGCGCTGCGGAGCGCCTCGCCGAGAGCCAGTGGCTGCCGTCCCGCACTGACGCCTTCGCAGCAGGGATGGAGGTGATGGACAGCTGCAAGTTCTCCCCGTCCGAGCTCTTCTACGACAGCTCCTGCCTCTCCTCCCCGGAGGCCGAGTTCCCCGAGGATTTTGAGCCCAGGGACCTGACCCCCTTCGGAGCCCACGAACGCCCCGAGCCCGCCTGCTCCGAGGAAGAGGAGCATGTCCGAGCTCCCACTGGCCACCACCAGGCCGGTCACTGCCTCATGTGGGCTTGCAAAGCCTGCAAAAGAAAATCCACCACAATGGACCGGCGGAAGGCGGCCACCATGAGGGAGAGGAGGAGGCTGAAGAAAGTGAACCAGGCTTTTGAGACCCTGAAGAGATGCACCACTGCCAACCCCAACCAGAGACTCCCCAAAGTAGAGATACTGAGAAACGCCATCAGATACATCGAGAGCCTCCAGGAGCTCTTGAGGGAACAGGTAGAAAACTACTATCACCTGCCGGGACAGAGCTGCTCCGAACCGACCAGCCCCACTTCCAGCTGCTCCGATGGGATGGTAAGAGGGAGGCAGGGCTGTGGAGACCCCAGGAAGGCCCGCGGACAGGTCCCCCTCGCCCTAGCGTCGTGGGACCAGTCCCGTGGGTGTGGGACGGGTCGAATGCATCCGGACAACAGGAAAAGGCGGGTGGTTTTCTTTTTAACAAGCCCCTTCCCAGATTTACCGTTGACCACGCACGTGGGCTGTCGGGCGATACTTGGGGGGGGCAGTAGCGCTGCCCGAGGGCACCCTTCA